CATATATTCCCACTTTTCCATTTCTAACCAATGTGGGATTGTTAATCTCTTTTAAGGCTCCTATTCAAATCCCAACTTTCAATCAATGTGGGATTAATTTCACATACACAAGTGAAAATTCATTTGCCAAATAATATATTTTCCAACACCTACTGCCATGAATAAAGTGAAAGTCTAATGTTCATTCATTTCACTATGAACCAATGTTGGCAACATTGCTTCAAAGAACAGCATAAAAGCTAAAGGAACACTGCCCACGGAATTACATTTCATCACTAACATGAATATTCACATTCAAGAAACTACATCAACGGCTCTCTCATAGCCCTCATTGTGAGAAATGGCTACGATATTCTTCCGTTTACCAGGTTACATCACGCCGTGCCTCAGGATAAACAATATTCTTCCTCCAAAAGGGCACTTTGTTTTAAAGAACTATTTGAAGACTTCACACTTAATTCTCATTAGCAAAACCTATTTGCTGCATGCATTTCAAAAGCAGACCTATGTAAATGTGGGTTACCCTCAATTAGGCTTGCTTCCCATGAACTTCCCAGTGCAGTTCCGGAGCTATATAGATCGTGTCCAGAACACCATTGCCACTCATACATGGATTGCTGAGAACTTGTCCATTGAGGAATCTCAAAACCTCGAGCCATCTCCCAAAACGTACTTTGTAGCTTCTCAATGCGGTATGTCTTACCCTGCATCCAGAAACACGGGTTAGTGAGTCAAAGCTTAAAAAAGGACACATTCGAGGAAGACACAAGAAATGAAACGCAACTGACAGACTTCTGCAAAGAGAATTACATATCCATCAGTCAAGTGCCAATGGTCTTAAATATTTAACCCTTTCCTAGAATGGAGGTTACAAACTGGACCATGAACAAATTTAACCAGTTAAGGTAAAGCCACAAATTTTCATCACCTAATAACTGCTGATTATAATTCCATAAAAGATACTTTCAAAACAAATCAGTAAATAAGAAGATAAATGTTAGCAATATCATCGTACTCTTGTTAACAGCTTCTATTAGAATGTTCTATTTTCAAGATTTACATGTATAAATGATTATTCTTAGAGACAATCAGAAAACCAAAGAAATCAATCAATGTATTCCCAATTACATTAACTTACTATGTCTTTTCTCCATTAAACTATCAGATCAACTGCTAAATAGACATTATTTTGAGTTTCAATAAAGATTAAGCCCATGTTTGGTACCACTAAAAAATCTGAGTCAAAGTCGACAATTAATGTTAACATGAAACTCACAACTTTTTAACCACATTTCATCAACTTTTATCAAAATTTGTTAAAATTTGATTTTGATATCTACCAAACAGGTTAAATTAGTTACATAGCTTATGCATAATTCATGCCATATTTAGTTCATATAAATAAGCAATTGGACGACAATGACAATTTAAACCATATCAAGAATGAAAACAATATTCAACAAATTATAAAAAGAATACAAACTCAATTGCCGAAAAGATGACTAAACTTGAAAGAAAGAACTATTAGCAGATCTTCACGGAGAAACAGAGAATAATTGTAACCGTTCTCCAAACAAATCGTATAAAACGTAGCTAAACAAAGGCCAAGTCAAAGGCTTCGAATTGATGGTTTCCGCATAATTAAAAAGTGATTTTTCAAGAAAATGTTGTTAAAAATGAACTCATGATATCCATACCTCCATCCTCACATCATTCATAAGAGACATCATTTCTTCAAGAAAATCAACAAATCCCTGTAGAGAGGATAAAGTTAAAATACTGTAAGAAAATCTCTCCAAAATACATTAATTATCTAAATATGGACATTCTAAACAAACACCTACTTCTACTTCATCATCGTCGTCATCAGGATCATATACTCCTGCATTGTATATTGTCCTCTTGCTATGATCTGATAAAACTGTTGTTAACCAAATAACATTCAATCAGTAAAGAAGTTCAACCTATCTTTCTCAACCAACAAGAATCAAAAAACAAAAAATAATTATTTCAAGAATGTTGGATTGTGATGCCATTTGTTACATTTGCATTTCAATCTTTTGGACGATGATGAATTGGGCCTAACCCATTGCTGGAATGTTATTTGCCATTGCCCGATAACACATTGAAACTTGCCCAAAAACCCAACCCACTTATCTTCCACTTGTGCTGCCCTGGATAGTCAATTTCATGGCTGATCTATGATTGTTATTGATGAGTATATATACCAGCTCAACCGTCTTCTTGAGCTATGATTTTTCATTGCTCTCTCTTTCACGTCTGTGAAACTTATGGGATTTTCTGTTCTTCGTGATTCTCTCTTCTCGTTCCAGTGTGATACTTTGTGTATAGATTAAAACCTAATTTTAATCCCCAATCAGTGTGACTGCTGCCTTTGTAGTTCTTCGAGAGAGAGTGATTCTTGTTTGAGTTGGCCGTGTTCCTTTCGAGCCATTGAGTAGCTATAGTGTGAAATAGATTAGGGGTTGTGATGTTTTGTGGCCGTTTCTTTTTACAGAAGGGTATAGTGAATATTTCTTAGCCCTATACAAATAAAGACTCGATTTTTTTGCTGATCTAAGTGTTCTATGTGAATCTGGTTTATGCTTCTGTTTTCGATTTTTTGACTCTACAAGTGGTATCAGAGAGTTTGTGAGTCAATAAGGGGTATTCGATCGAGTGATTTGTCACTAGAAAATTAATTTTCAGTCGTCCCTTATCGATCTGAAATTGGTAAAATCCTAGATCTTCGATTCTGCTACTAATCTTGGTTTTTTCTATTTGTGTTCTTTCTTGAGAGGAAACTCGTTCTTAATGAACATGTTTGAAGACTAAGCTTCGAGCTGTTGGTATTGTAGAACCCCTTGAAGTTGTTCTTGGTGCGGTTCTTCGAACCAGCTTGGTGACACTTCTTAAAACCCCCTTTATACTGTTATTACTTGATATTGATCATTGTGAATTCCCCCCCTTTCCCCACGTTATTCCTCCAATTTTTCGTGTCTATGAATTGAGCCTTGACTTGGGGTCATGAATCTCATGAAATCCTGATGAATTCTAACATCAAAAATTGGTGAAATTTTAGATATAAAATCTATTTAATATACCGTGGCATAAATTTGAAAATTACTGTGATTGTTAGCTAGTTTTAATATTACAGCTGCTTTTGTGTTGGTTCACTGTGTCAATTAATCCGTTTACAATCCATATTAAGGAGCCTAAATCTTATGAGGAGGCTTTAAGTTGTCAACAATCTAATGAGTGACTAGGTGCTATGGAAGAGAAAATTATTCTTAGTTAAGAATAATACTTGAAAGTTAGTTCCTAAACCTGATAATAAGTCTAGTAAACTGTGAGAGAGTTTATTGTATTAAAGAAGGTAGTTATTCTAAACAGCCTTTTAGGTTTAAAGTTAGACTTGTTGAAAAGGGGTTTGCACAAAAACCTGATATTGATTACAATGAAATTTTCTCATGTTGTTTAAATATACTACTATAAGAGTCATGCTTGCTTTGATTTCTCAATATGATTTAGAACTTGAACAAATGAATGTCAAAACTGCCTTCTTGCATGGTGACTTCAATGAAACTATTTACATGATACAACCGCAAGGTTTCATTGATTCTAAAAGACCTAATCATGTCTGTTAAATAGGTTTTTGTATGGTTTGAAACAATCACATAAGCAATGGTATATAAGATTTGACAATTATGTGTCATCTATTGGTTTAATGAGAAGCGCTCTTGATCATTGTCTTTACTTTAAAAGAAATGATAGGAATGACGTGATTGATTATCTTCTTTTGTATGTTGATGATATGCTGTTGATTGGACATAAAATGAGTGATATAAATAACATTAAAAAGGATTTAAGTGCTGAATTTGAAATGAAAGACTTAGGACATGTTAGGAGAATTTTAGGAATAGATATTAAAAGAAATAGATCACAACAATTTCTTCTTTTAACTCAATCTGATTATGTGAAATGTATTATCTAAGTTTGCTATGCATGATTCTAAGCCTGTTACTTTGCCTCTTGCTTGTTATTTTAAGTTGAATAAAGAACAATGTCCACAAGATGAATCCGATATCAAATACATGCAAAAAGTACCTTGTGCTAATACTGTCGGATCTGTTATTCTACTATGGTGTACTAGACTTAATGTTGCACATGTTATTAGCATTTTGAGTAGATTTATGGCGAACTCAGGTCCTAACCATTGGACCGCTTTAAAATGGGTTTTAAGATACTTAAAAGGTTCTGCAGATTTAGGTTCGCAGTTTAAATTTTGTAAAAAGGAAGTTGTGTTAAAAGGATATGTGGATTCTAATTATGCGAGTAATAAGGATAATAAAAAATCAACAATTGTATATGTGTTTACTTTGTGTGGAACTTGAATAAGTTGGAAGTCTCAATTGCAGTCTATTGCTGTCTTATCTACTACAGAAGCTAAGTATGTAGCTACTATTGAAACTATTAAGAAGTCTTTATGGCTTAAAGGCTTGTTGAGTGAACTAAATGAATTGCATGATCATGTTGTAGTTTATTGTGATAGTCAAAGTGCTATTCATTTATGTAAAATCCCAATTTTTCATGACATGACTTAATCTATAGATGTTATGATGCATTTCATTAGAGATGTAGTTCAAAAGGAGTCCATATTGCTTGAAAAAAAATCCCTACACAACTCAATCCCGCTGATATGGGAACAAATGTACTTCCTCTTACCAAATTTAAATCATGTTTACAAATTCTAAAAATTGATACTGGTTGAATTTGTGTTTTCTGCTGGTGTTATCCTTCTTGGTGTTGGTATTGATAAACACTAATGTGTTTGGGTGCTTATAACATTGGCATCAATGGGGATATTTGTTGGATCGTAATGCCATTTGTGACATTTGCATTTCAACATTTTGGGCTATGATGAATTGGGTCTGCCCATTGCTGGAATGTTATTTTCCATTGCCCGATAGCACATTAAAACTGGCTAAAAAACCCAACCCACTTATCTTGCCACTTGTGTTGATCTGGACCGTCGATTTCATGGCTGATCTATGATTGTTATTGATGAGTATATATACCAACTGAACCGTCTTCTTGAGCCCTAATTTTTCATTGCTTTCTCTCCTTCGCATCTATGAAGCTTTTAGGGTTTTCTGTTTTTCGTGATTCTCTTCTTATTTCTGTGTGATACTTTGTGTTGGTTTTAATCCCCAATCAGTGTGATTGCTGCCTTTATGGTTCTTTGAGAGAGAGAGTGATTCTGGTTGAGTTTGGTTGTGTTCCTTTCGAGCCATTGAGTAGCTATAGAGCGCAATAGATTAGGGGTTGTGGTGTTTTGTGGCCGTGTCTTTGTACATAAGGGTACAATGAATATTTCGTAGCCCTATACCAATAAAGATTCTATTTCTTGCTGTTCTAAGTGTTCTATGTGAACTTGGTATATGCTTCCGTTTTCGATTTTTTGACTCTACAAATAATATAGAAAAAAGTTCGAAAGGAAAATATCACCTGAATAGGCCTCTTGAATTTGTTGAAATTTCTGCTTAGCCTCACCAAGCTGTGTAGGGTTGTTAGTCCATTTATCTGGATGCCATTGCTGCAGAAATATGTAACACGCAAAAGTTATAACTAAACATAGAGTTTTGAACAATATATCGCCATTTAACCAAGATTTAAGAATGATGGACCATTATCATTCAATTTTACAAGGAAAACATTGAAACTAAAGAAGAATTAAGATTTTGAAGTTTGAAGTATACCATAGCAAGCTTATGATAAGCACGTCGTATTTCTTCATCCGAAGACTGTGCATCTACCCCTAGAATGCTGTAATACGAAGGTGGCCCTCCACTAGATTCCATCTCTAGTGCAAAATTAACAAAAATGCTCAGTTCACAGAATTGGATTCCTAGTCACGATCAAGCTAAACAGAGATATTTCTCTAAAGGCTACTCTTTTCGGCTCGAATTGCTTGTGTAAATGTCGAACAATGATAAAAGGCGGCAGATACATATATATATACACACGAAAAGGAAAGATAATTATCGATGTAATAAGGCGGTTTGTGAAAGAATTTGTGGAAGCTGGAAAATATTTGTGGGACAAAAGTTAACGTGGACGATTTTGATGGCTAATTGCGATCTAGAGCTTTCTCCCAACAGTTTCTTGAATGTTCGTGTAATAATTTTCTTGTGGACGCTGTTAGATATTAGAGCATGTTGCTTTCCCATTTTACTTTAAGAATGTATTTTGAAATAATACATTCATAAAATATATGTCGTTAAGAAGTAAGGAAAAATTTTAAATTTCGTATAATATTATTTTATTAAAGATTGTGTGATTAAAACAAAGAGAGAAAAAATGTATTTTAAAAGTAATGAAAATCAATATAAGATGTTTTTGTCGACTGCGGTTGAGGAAATTAGTTTTTCCAATTGAAAAAGGATAATTGAGGGAAAATTCTTTTTGGATAACTTTTCATGTGGGGATTTTGAAGGCTATGTAAGCCGCTTCGTGGAACTTCTATTTTCGTTGTTGTTGTTATTATTATTATTATGTAAGCCGCTTCGTGGAACTTTTATTTTCGTTGTTGTTGTTGTTATTATTATTATTATTATTATTATTATTATTATTATTATTTGTGTCGTGCTTCTTGATAAAACTACGTTAGTAAGTTTTCTTTAAGAACTCTTTTATTTAAATAAAATAATTTTAAAAAATTATTCAAATATGTCTAAAAAAAAAAAAAACTTCTTCGGATCCATTTGGTATAGCTTTTAAGAAGTTAAAATAAGTTTTTGAGAACCTATAACTATATAAGTGGGGCGGCAAACTCTATCCCGAAATTTGCCCGCTGACTTGTCATGGCAAGGTACCAAGAGATCCGAATTTTTTAGATCAAATTGTCATCTCTAGTCATACATAACAATTTAACTTATCCCAAAAAAGAAAACCAATATAGCCCGACATATGTGAGTGAAACCTTTTTGAGTGAATGTTTTCATGTCTTTCATCCTTGTTAATATCTATAATACAAAATATAACGTGTGTATACAATGACATTCGGCCCCTGTATGGGCTCCATTAAAAAATGAATTTTGGGAAAAAAAAATGCATTTTGAAATAAAAAATGCTACTTGTACACCAAAGTTTACCCCTTGATTCACATAATACAGAGTAGCAAAATTTCATAGGCACCCAAGTTTACCCCCCTGGTTTACAAATTATCAAAATTTGGTCATTTCGGTGTTTTTTTGGCTGTTGGTTGTGTGGGATTTGTAGAGAGTGACGAAGTGACGTGAGGCGTGATTTTAGATGGTTTCGCCGACGGCAAGTTGGTGTTTTTTGGCTTCATAGGTGGCACAATAGTTGGGAGAGGAGATGAGGTAAAAGATGATAATTTTGATTTTAATTTTTTTTTCTTATTTTTGATTTTTTAATAATTTATTTAGAATTAATTCGTACTTCTCTTAAAAAAAATTGAAAGTATAGTTACAATTAACTTTTTATTTTTCTTTTCTTGTCTTTTTTTCTTAATATGATGGTATATTTATTATTTCATTATTTTTTTATTGAGAAATTGAATGAATATGAATGAAAATAATGTTTTGTACAATTAAATGTTCAATTGAGAATGAAAATATAAAAAAATGAAAGATGAACACATTTTTTACCATGATAACAAAGAGAGACACATTACCTACTAATGAACCGAATAATGTTATTCATTCTCACTAGAGTTACAAACACAGTTTTAATGGGGATAATACTATGAATAAATCTAAGTGTACAACATTGGTTGACAACAACGGTTGACAATCATGTGTTATCAAAATCCTAACATGTGATGTAGAAAACAGTTTTTAAAAATAGATGGATATGATGATGACAAATAGGATGTTGTCATAGAGCTTCTGTCACCGTAGCTGTTCGTTTGGATCAATGAAATGAAGATTAAGGGTGTGTTTGAGCCACATTATTTTGAAAGAATGTATTATGGAATAGTAAATTGATGGAGAATGTGTGGTTGAAAAGGAAAGAAAAGTTATTGATGTGATAGAAAATATTATTTTATTAAAAAATGTGTGGTTGAAAATGAACAGAAAAATGAGAATGAAAAAAATAATGTGTACCAAACAGGGACTCAATTGAGGATGAAAATATAAAAAAATGAAAGATGAACACATTTTTTACCATGATAACAAAGAGAGACACATTACCTACTAATCAATCGGGTAATGTTATTCATCCCCACTGGAATTACAAACACAGTCTAAGCGGCTATAAAGGGTCCGTTCGTTAGCCTAGAAAATGGGTGGAAAAGAAAAATATTTTCTAACTTTAGCCGATTAAGGGTGTTTGATAGCACAAATTTTTCGGGCAAAATATTTTCCACTTTTTTCTAGGTACAATCCTTTGATGCACAAAAGTTTGATTTTGTTTTCCTACTTTTATTTTTGCAATGGGAACAAATTCTAGATACAATGGTAAAAAAAATTTTCATTTTTATTGACAACTTCCATGCAAAACAAAGTCAAACGAATGATATTCAGTATAGTAAATTTTTTTTTTCAAATTTTTTTTTACAATTGGAACAAATTTTAGACCCAATGGTAGAAAAAATGATCACTTTAATGGACAAATTCCATAAAAAATGAAGTCAAATGGACACAAAACTTTCTACATTTTCCATAGAAAATTTTACCAATCAAACACAATTAATTACCATTCCCAATAAAACATTTTTTAGGAAAATCAATTTCTTTTATTGACAACTTTCATGCAAAACAAAGTCAAACGAATGATATTCGGTATGGTAAAATTTTTTTTAAATTTTTTTTTTTTAGAATTGGAACAAATTTTAGACCAAATGGTAGAAAAAATTATCAGTTTAATGGACAAATTCCATAAAAAATGAAGTCAAATGGACACCAAACTTTCAACATTTTCCATGAAAAATTATACCAATCAATCACAATTAACATTTTCTAGGAAAATCAATTCCCTGTAAAACGTTTTTTTCAACCATTTTTCACTCTTACAATCAAACGGATGATTTAATTTAACTTCTCATTTAACCAATCATTTAAAGCCACTTACATTGTTTCCTAAGAAAAACCTTAATTTCTCAGATCCTACACTCAGAATAAACGAAACTCCATCCACAAAACCATGTTCAATTCAATTCTGTTATTCATCACTTTAATTCTTTCGCTTGGCCCAATTCATTGCCGGAAGGCCCATGTCATCAACTTCCGGTGGCCAGATCTCTACCCGGTGTCCTTCACGTGGGACCAAAAGTCGGAGCACTTCGTTGTTGGGTCCCTCCGCCAGAAACAGCTCATCTCAATCTCTGACGCCGGTGTTGCAGCTTCCCTTCTCTCCGACGACTCCCTTCCTGAAAACTCCTCCTTCTTTGGCGTCGCCTTAGACCGCCACCACCATCGCCTCCTCGCCGTCGTTCACCACCCTTCCATCCCATCCTTCAGCGCCCTCGCCTCCTACCACCTCACCACCTTCAATCAACTCTTCCTCGCCCCGCTCCCAAACTCCACCGTTCCAAACGACGTCGCAGTCGATTTCTCCGGGAACGCTTACGTTACCGACTCAGCCAATGGCATCGTCTTCAAAGTCAACATCGACGGCGAGGCCTCGATTCTGTCAAGATCTCAGGCATATCGCAATTCCGGGCTGAACGGCGTCGTTTATAACTCCAAGGGTTATCTGCTAGTGGTGCAGCCAAACACCGGCAAATTATACAAAGTCAATGTCGATGACGGGACGGCAAGGGCAGTTATTCTGAACAAAGACATAACGGCGGTAGAAGGAATCGCCGTTAGAAGTGACGGAATTGTTGTGGCGGTATCAAAACATAAACTGTACTTTATCAAAAGTCACGACAGTTGGAGCGAGGGCGTGGTGTTTGACGAAACTGCCCTTGAAGAGGAGAGGCAGGCCAGTGCTGTGGCAGTGGGGGCTGAGGACAGGGTATACGTGTTATATGGGCATGTAAAGGAGGGCATAATGGAGAATTCAGAGAGAGTGGAATTTAGTATAGTAGAAGTGGAATCAGAAAAGGAGAGTAAAGAAGGGAGTGTTTGGATATTTGTTTTATTGGGTTTGGGATTTGCTTATTTTTTGTTTTGGAGATTTCAAATGAGGCAGCTCGTGCAGAATATGGACAAGAAAACTGCATAAAAAATTTCTTTTTTTCCCCACGTATCTATCGTGATTTTTCATGATTTTTTTTTTTTTTTTGTTATCGATACGATGGCAAAGCCATTTTGGAATATTTTTCTTTTTAGTCCGTTTCTTCAATTTGCTTGCTAACGTGTATTGAATTATAAAGATCAACGTGTCAAACTAAAATACTCAATAAACATTAGCTCTCAGAGGAGATTCAGTCACCTTCCAATACTACTGTCTTGTTACAACTTCCCACTAAATGTGCGTCCTTCTTGACCCTCTTGTAAGAGGGAAAGGTCCTCTCAATGTTTTAGCATTAACGCCCGCGAATGTCATTTGATATTCTGTAAGTTTCTATCGATTTTACAATAGTTTTGTCTAATTCTTGTAATCATGTTGCAGTGCATGTAATCAATGACGAAGTACCAATTTTGTTGGCATCGAAGCAAAATAAGAAATAATAAACAATGTGACAAAATATGTTTTAACATAAATGCTTATCTTCAATCCTTGTATGTCTCTCCAGCAGCGTCATCCACCTGTTAAACATGTCTCATGCTATCTTCACGTCCCCTATATCTCAGACATGGGAGCTCTTCCCTACGGACTTATCCAATCTGTTCAACTCTGTGCATAGTTTTGTGGAACTTATTCTATCAGCAAAAGCTCTATTCTGTCGCCTATCTCCATGAATACAAGGCAGTGACGATTTTGGTATATTTAAACAGAGATCCTCCATGTCTGGCTGCGTGGCCAAGTCTTGCCATGCTAGTGGCAGGTGATGGCTATGGGGTTGGTGGAGTTGCTCGAGACCATGACAGTATAGTTATAGAAAGCTTCTCAAAGTTTTTATCCTCGATTAACGAGAAGGAAAGATGTGATGAATCCATAAAAAAACATAAAGTTCGATTAGTTACAAAAGAATTTGCTCAGAAATTTAGAATGGATTGTCATGAAACAAATTCTCTTGTTACACAATGTCTTGGTTTTTCTGCAAATCTTGGCAGCAGGTTCCAAAGATGAGTATAGCTAAGCCCTTCAAACTATACTTGAAGCATACAAAATATTTGATTTCTTCTGTTGAGATTTCAAACAAAATCGCAGAAACATTTCATATAAAATTGCAGTAATTCAGAATAAAATTACTTTATTCTTCATTGTTGAGAAAACTCCCAGCGTTGTTCATACAAGTGCAAATGTTACAGCCTCAATTGATCATCAGAATTAGCATTGTTAAATGAAACGATACAGAAAATTCAATACCAGTTTTCTTCAGTAGACTGTGAAATCAACTTATAGCAATGACGGTTAGAGATTTGTTTCCACAGTTTTGCCATTTATGGGACTTGGAAGAGGCAAAGGATGGCCTTCTGATGGTGGAGCTGTAGACTGGTGAGGTGTGGCCTTCTTTCCTTCAATTTCATCATTTGGCTTCGAATTCTTTTTTTCAGCTTCAATTTTTGGCTTCAAATTTTTTTCTTCAGATTCATCTTTTAGGTTCTTCTCTTGGCCTTCAACTTTTGGCTTCGACCTTTTTCCTTCTGCTTCATCTTTTGGGTTCTTCTCTTCGCCTTCGACTTTTGACTTCGAAAAGCCAGCTTTCTCCCTGAGCTCTTCAAGCTTCTCCAAGATCTTCCTCCTAATGTCGGCATTTCTAGTACGTGCTTCAGCAGACTCTGGTAAGAGAAGAGAAAGAAAACCTAATGATGCAGCTGCCAAATGCATTATCTCCCTCCTTGAGGTGGCCTTGAAGGATTCCTGCAATAGTGGTTTTTCTTCCTTTTTGGTTGCCTGCAACCAACAAAAAAAATGCTTATAGATCTTACCAAAAATAGCGATGTGCTCTTCTTTTCCTAATACCATTATATGTCGAATCACCTCACCTAAGGGCTAAAAGCTTACGCGATTAGGGAGGGTACAAGTTATTCATTTAAATCTTGACTCCAATATGCCCCACTTGTCCAGACTCCAGACCGGATACATTTTCTGATATGAGGTCCAACAAGTGCAAAATATTTATAAATGACAGGCCACAAGACTTTGACACTAGGACCTTTACCTACTCTCATACCGCATTCAACCACCTCGTCTAAAAGCTTAAGTGATTAGTGAGTGAACAAAGAGCAACAAAAAAGATATCTATCATCTTCAAAAGTTTACACCCCAATTAATTGAAAGGTTATCTGAACCAGTTGGAAAACATGATCTTACAAAAAGCATGAACAAAACATGATAACTAACAGATATACAGTGATTACAACATGGCTACAGAAAACCTATTGAGAGAACCAAATAATGCAACCACTGAAACATCATATTTGATTATTAAAAACAATTACTGTATTCAAAGAACTTTTCCACGAGCCATTGCAAATACTATGAGATGGGACTCCATTGTATAGAAACTTTTATTTAGTATCTGGAATGGAGTGGAAATCATTGCTAACTGATTATTTCAGTTAAACAAAGGTCAGCTTGTGAGATCTTTGTCCCCCAGTAAAAAGGACCAAGAATTATGCCTTGAGACTAGGGAATCTCAAGTTTAAGCTGCGCAGATCTTTGAGTCGATTAGTTCTTTATTTTTCAACTATTCCATAAGTTTGCTTGTTCTCAATCTATGTCAGAACTTGTATAACACTTCGAGAAAGTTACATAAAGGCATGTACTAAATTTGGAAATAGTTTATGCTTTTTTCAGAATGAAATTTCTTCCCAATTAGAATAGGCGGTAAGACAGCAGACTTATCATTTCAATCTTAGAAAGGCCTACTCCAGTCATCGAGGAGCAGTTATGTGCACATAATTGCTTATTGTTGATTTCCCACCCACAGAGCACGAGAAGTTATCCCAAGTCCCACGCTAATATGATGTAAATATAGTCAACTTCATAAACACTAAGTAATCAACTTTACAAACACTTATATGATATTGAATGCAGGAGATGAAAGCCAACATTATAATTATTCCAGCATGTTTTGCATGTTTAATTTTTATAGCACCACGATGCTCTCATGGAAAAATCATGCATGGACTTGCCTGCAGTCACTACATTGTTGTTTGTTATCACATTTTGGCAGTTTGAATTACAACGCAATGTACTAAATGTTGCTAATATTTCATATGCACATATATCATCTACAAACATCAGATGGAATGGAGTAAGAGAATGAACGGACCGGATCACGAAAGACGAGAGGCTTTCATACCACTTAGCAAACTATAATTTGGCAATGCTAATACACTGTGAGTAATACTTGTCCATTCTTTTGGCATAAGTTTAACTATCTATTCCTGGCAGAGCAGAAATAATAAACATTGATACTTCACAACCCAACCCATTAAGGTAAAAAATGATAATAATGATCCACACACTGCTTCAAGAAGATTTCTAGCATGTCTTTTGCACTTCATTTCTTTTAATATTTCTATGCCACATTGTCAAAGTCTCTTAATCTTTCCGTGGTTCTATAACAATTCCAGAAACCAGAGCAGCTTAATTGCTCTCAATATTTCAGCAATTATGTCAACTAGAAATAAAGTAAAGCTACAAACAGAAAATTCATTAGAAAAACTCCCGTATAGTTACATAACAAGAGCCCGTGAAAGGCAACATAAAATCCCATATCAATAAAATACAATGATACATAGGAGCAGAAGATACAGTGCTAAGCAGAAATCTACTAATTTAGGCAGCAAATCAAGTAATTGGGCAACCACAACTACGATAACGCATAAGAAGCAGTTCAGCATATGGAAACACCCAGCACACCAAATAAATAAATCCAACACAATGGGAGAAAGAGATAGACTTCTCGGTTCCTCATGTTGGTTATTAGGATTTACTGCAAGTTAAGTTTATGTTAATAAGTCCGATTTGTAAGGGATAGTGGCTTAGGATTTGACAAATTCCTCTTAGTCTATTACCACATTTAGGTTGTTGTTTAAACGTGGGTTGCTTTTTGAGTTTATCCTCTTGTAATTGGCTTTATAAGCTTGCTGTTTTGCATTCAATAATATAACTTTCATTCAAACTTTTGCACTACAGAAAGATCAGAGTGTTTTCAACATTTGGTATCAGAGCCCCATCACAGGGGCCCGATTTTGTGTGATTTAAAGAAACAGCAGTTTCTTGACAGTGTGGAGTTGAAAGAGATGGCAGGAGAGAGTAGTTTCGTGCAGGCTTCAATTCCAAAATTTGATGGCCACTATGACCACTGGTCGATGTTGATGGAAAATTTCCTTCGTTCAAAGGAATATTGGGGTCTTGTGGAAAATGGGATACCTGCAGCAACAGATGACGCTACATTGAGTGAAGCACAACGCAAAGCAATTGATGATGCTAAGTTGAAGGACTTGAAGGTCAAGAATGACCTTTTTCAAGCTATAGATCGGAATATTATGGAGACAATATTCGACAGAGACACAGCAAAGAGTATTTGGGACTCCATGAAACAAAAATACCAAGGCTCTACCAAGGTAAAGAGGGCACAACTGCAAGCACTTCAGAGGGACTTTGAGACTCTCCACATGAATGAAGGAGAGAGTGTTGATGATTTCTTTGCTTGTGCTCTCACTATAGCCAACAAAATGAAGGCTCACGGTGAGAATATGAGTCAAACCACCATCAATGAGAAAATTTTGAGGTCCATGACTTCAAAATTTGACTATGTGGTTTGCTCCATTAAAGAATTCAATGATTTGGACACACCGACCATCGACGAGCTGCAGAGCAGTTTGCTTGTCCATGAACAAAGAATGAATGGTTATCGAGGAGAGGAGCAGGTTCTCAAGGTCACTCGTGAAGACAACACAAGCAGAGGAAAAGGTGGAGGGATGGTCAGAGGCAGAGGCAGAGGAAGACAGTCTTTTAACAAGGCTATTGTAGAGTGCTTTAAATGCCATAAATTGGGGCACTTTCAATATGAGTGCCCTAGCTGGGAGAAATGAGCCAATTATGCAGAGTTAGATGAAAGAAGAGCTGTTGTTGTTAATGTCCTATGTGGATCTGAATCAAGCAAAAAGAGAAGAGGTGTGGTTTCTTGACAGTGGATGCAGCAATCACATGAGTGGAAATTGAGAATGGTTCTCGGATTTGGATGAGCGCTTCAAACAAACAGTGAAGCTAGGCAACAACACAAGGATGGCCGTTGTGGGGAAGGGAAATGTCGGAATGCAAGTCAATGGAATCACTAAGGTAATCTCTAAAATTTACTACATTCCCGAGTTGAAGAATAATCTGTTAAGTGTGGGACAACTTCAAGAAAAGGGTCTAGTCATTTTGATCCAACATGGGAAGTGCAGGATCTTTCATCCTTCAAAAGGTCTGATTATGCAATCCGATATGAGTGCGAATAGAATGTTTGTTGTGCTTGCAGCCATGATGCCTAAAGCTCCTACTTGTTTCCAAGTTGTGACAGAAAATGTAACTCACCTATGGCACTGTAGATTTGGGCATTTGAGCTTCAAAGGGTTGAGAACCCTTCAATACAAAAAGATGGTCAGTGGCTTGCCTTCACTTAGAACCCCTACAAAGCTTTGCACAGATTGTCTGCTTCGTAAGCAGCACATGGAATCCATTCCCAAAAGAAGTTTATGGAGGGCTTCACAGAGGCTGGAGCTTGTACATACAGATATATGTGGTCCTATAATGCCAGCATCAAACAGCAATAAGAGGTATTTGTTAAGTTTTATCGATGACTTCAGTCGTAAAACTTGGGTTTACTTCTTGCATGAAAAGTCAGAAGCTTTTGCTGTCTTTAGAAGTTATAAAACACGTGTTGAGAAAGAGATAGGTGCATATATTAGATGCTTAAAGACTGACAGGGGTGGAGAATTCAATTCAAATGATTTTTTTGAGTTTTGTAAAGCTAATGGAGTGAGCAGGCAATTAACTGCAGCTTATACCCCTCAGCAAAACGGAGTTGCTGAGAGAAAAAATAGGACAATGATGAATATGGTACGTTCCATGCTCTCAGAGAAGCAAGTCCCTAAAGCTTTCTGGCCTGAAGCAGTGAGGTGGAGTGTGCACATTCTCAACAGATCTCCAACTTTGGCAGTACAAGATAAAACTCTAGAAGAAGCATGAAGTGGCATGAAACCTAATGTGGAGTATTTCCTTGTCTTTGGTTGTGTGGCTCATGTACACATACCATATCAAAGGAGGACCAAGTTGGATGATAAAAGCTACAAGTGTGTCCTTCTTGGTGTGAGTGATGAATCGAAGGCATATAGGTTGTTTGATCCAGTCTCAAAGAAAGTAGTTGTCAGCAGGGATGTTGTATTTGAAGAAGATGAAAGCTGGAATTGGGGTAGAAGCCAAGAAGAAGCAAGGCTCGACAATCATGGAATGGGGTAACGGTGATGATGAAAATGATCAAGGGAATGAAGTTGAAGAAGAGACTAATGATGATGAAAATGGTGGTGCTTCAAGTGGAGCCGGTTCGAATGATGCTGGCTCATCCTCTAGTGAGTCACCGCTGAGAATTCACCAAGCATAAATGAAAGGAGGGTGAGAAGAGAACCACCCTGGATGCAGGATTATGTAACCGGAGAAGGCTTGTTAGAAGATGAGGGTCTGAATGCTATGATGATGCTCACCGAGGATGATCCAATCATATTTGAAGAAGCTGTCAAGAGCCAGAAATGGAGGTATGCAATGAATGCAGAGATTGAATCAATTGAGAAAAACAAGACTTAGGAGCTAACTACTCTTACCAGATGGAGTGAAGTCTATTGGAGTTAAATGGGTGTTTAAAACTAAACTCAACGAGAGTGGAAAAATAGATAAGTAGAAAGCGAGATTGGTGGCTAAGGGATATGCACATCTGTACGGGATTGATTACACCGAAGTTTTTGCACCGGTTGCGAGGCTTGACACCATTCGATTGATACTTGCTCTAGCAGCTCAACAAAGCTGGGATGTTTTTCAACTAGATATGTAAAGAGCGCTTTCCTTCATGGTGAGCTTAATGAAGAAGCCTTTGTGCAACAGTCTCAAGGATACGAGAAGAAGGGTGAAGAAGACAAAGTGTACAAGTTAAGAAAGGCATTATATGGGCTCAAACAAGTGCCACGAGCATGGTATAGCAGGATTGAAGCTTATTTTGTTAGAGAAGGCTTTGAAAGGTGCAGTAGTGAACACACATTGTTCACAAAGTCGAAGGAGGGAAGTAAACTTTTAATTGTCAGTCTTTATGTTGATGATTTAATTTATACGGGAAATGATAAGAGTATGTGTGATGAATTTAAGAAATCAATAATATTGGAGTTTGATATGTCTGATTTGGGGAAGATGAGGTATTTTCTTGGGATTGAGGTGTTACAGAGTTCGGATGGAATTTTTGTGTGTCAAAGGAAATATGCTCGTGAAATTTTGGCAAGGTTTGGCATGGACAAGAGTAAACCAGTGAAGAATCCAATGGTTCTAGGTACTAAGCTGTCAAAAGACGAGGCAGGGACTAAAGTTGATGCAACCTTGTTTAAGCAGGTGGTTGGCAATCTTATGTACTTGACTGCTACTAGACCTGATTTGATGTATGGAGTGTTATTAGCAGGTTCATGTCTCGTCCTACTGAGCTTCATTGGCTTGCAGCAAAAAGAATACTCATGTACTTGAAAGGTACAACTGAGTTGGGGATCTTTTACAAGAAAGGAGGTTGTAAGGATCTCATAGCTTACACTGACAGTGATTTTGCTGAGGACTTAGATGATAGAAAGAGTACCTTAGGGTATGTATTTTTGCTTGGTTCGGGAGCAGTTTCGTGGTTGTCCAAACAAAAACATGTGGTGACTTTGTCTATTACTAAGGCTGAGTACATAGCTGCTGCCTCTTGTGCTTGTCAAAGTGTGTGGTTGAGGAGAATTCTAGAGAAGCTTGGTTATAGACAGAACAAGTGCACTACTGTTTTGTGTGACAACAATTCAACTATTAAGTTATCAAAGAATTCTGTTTTGCATGGTCGAAGTAAACACATTGATATTCGCTTTCATTTCCTTCGTGATCTTGCAAGGGATGGCATTGCTGAACTGGTATATTGCAACACTCAAGAACAAGTTTCTGACATAATGACAAAGCCTTTGAAGTTGGAGACATTCTTGAAGCTTCGAAGTATGCTTGGAGTTTGTGAAGTTCCTGTTGTAAACTGAATGCTGAGAAGTGTTCAGTTTAAGGGAGGGATTGTTGGTTATTAGGATTTACTGCAAGTTAAGTTTCTGTTAACAAGTCCTATTTGTAAGGGATAGTGGCTTAGGATTTGACAAATTCCTCTTAGTCTGTTACCACGTTTAGGTTGTTGTTTAAATTAAACATGGGTTGCTTTTTGAGTTTATCCTCTTGTAATTGGCTTTATAAGCCTGCTGTTTTGCATTCAATAATATAACTTTCATTCAAACTTTTGCACTGCAGAAAGATCAGAGTGTTTTCAACACCTCACACCCTAAATTAATATTGATTTTCCTAAAAAGAACTTTTATAACGAAATGCCACTAAGACATGTATTTATGTAAAACATCAAGGGCGCTTCTATTAGTAAGAACGTATGAACAGTTAATTATTTACAAATCATACAAATATACTTGCGCCGAATTCAAAGTACAACATATCAACATCCAATTGAAGCACGCCAAGATTCAGTGCATTACACACAGACGTGTGGATCACGACCATAAAAAGTCCAAACTTAACTTTCCAAGAGAATAATACGAAGTGGGAAGGTTAAAGTTAGATAGGGCAGTTCGAGTAGCAGAACCTGAAGAGAAGGAAGAGTTGACCTTTTCACCATTTCTACTTTTAACACTTTTGATTGGGACCCATTTCCTCCGGTCACCGTAGGAAGTCGACAGGAAGCTGGTCTCAGGGTGGATAACGACATTTTCCGGCGAGAGTAACGGCACGAATTGGCTGGTTGGTGAGCACTCTGATCGAGGCAGTGCCCTGTGAAAATGCTCGATCAAACTGACACGTTTTTCTTATTTTAAGGCCGTTCAGAACTGCAACTAGGCCCAATAAATGCACGAGAAGAGAAATTGATTAGGCAACGAGCTGGGCCTGGCATTCCAATCTAAGCCCATGTTTGCCACTCTTTAAAATAATATTTTTTAATTCTCGTACTTATTTTCAACAACATTCATACAATAAAATAATTTATACGTAAATTTAAAATTTTTCTTACTTTTTAACCTCATATTTTTTAAAATAATGACCATCAAACAATGGCTGAATCCAAAGTCCAAACCCTATTAAAATTCACTCGAAGTGACTTGATTTTCAACATTATTTTTTAGGGCCAAACGAACTCTCATTACAAAATGTCATTACAAACTATCGATGAAATAAAGTAAGGAATATAATCGTCCAAGTTATGAGTTACTGAGGTTAATATAGCAAAAGAAGCAAGTTAATAAATTATTCTATTATTATAAATTCCATGTACAAAAATGAAAAGTAAATAAAACAATCTTCGGCAACGGTATCAAAAATTCGTTGAATTTTATCCCGCTTAATTAAAGCAAGCTCTAATTTAAAAACACACAATTAATTATTGGACGTTGATTTTAACTATATTTAATTGTCTACAAAAATAAACAAACAAAATCTTGAAATTAATCAAATCATTTAAAGCACTAGGATCTTGAATTTACCATTTTAACATACTTTAATCCTCAACTACC